CCCAATTTTTCCTCATTTTATTTTTGGAATTTTTCAGTTTCCCTATTTTTCCGATTTCTTAAATTTTGGAGTTTTCGATTTCTCGGGGTTTCAGTTTTTCAATTTCTAATTTTTGAATTGAATTTTTTTCAATTTTTCGATTCTTCACTTTTATATATTTTACAATGACCAGTTTTTTGATGTTTCGATTTCTCGACTTCTCGGTTTTGGATTTTTCCGTTTTCGAATTTTCGATTGTTCAGTTTTTAGATTTATTTTTTTTTAATTTTAAATAACTTTTGGATTCTTCGATTTTGGGCAGTTTCGAAGTCTCAATTTTTCGATTTTCGAACTTCTCGACTCTTCGATTTCTCGATTGTTCGACTTTTCGATGTTTCGATTTTCCATTTTTTCTATTTTTGGATATTTAATGTAAAATGTTTCAATTTTTCGATTTTTGACGTTCCGATTTCCCAATTTTTCAATTTTTCGATTCTTCAGTTTCTCGATATTTTAATTTTTCAATGTCCCAAATTTCAGATTTTTCGGTTCCTCGATTTCTCGTTTTTTCGATTTTTAAATTCTTGGATATTTGTATATATTTTTCAATTTTTCTAATTTTAATATCTTTGATTTTTCAGTTTATTGATGCTTAAATTTTTCGATTTTTCAATTTTTCGATTTCTCGATTTATTTTTTTTTTAATTTTCAGGTTTAACGATTTTTTTAATTTTGAATGTTCTTTTTTAATTAATTTAGTGTCATAAAAATTAATTTTGATTTACGAATCTCTCTGTCAAGGTAAATTGCTATGAAAAAATCACCCTCTAAAAAGGCGAGCGTAGCGAGCACTTTCAGAATTTTTCAATCCCAGAGATATTATCCTGAAGACAAACATTTTTAAACTCACCTGCGCTCGCAGTGTAAAAAATCTTTTTTTTTTATTTTGGTCTCAGAACTATTCAAGAAAAAAAAAAGGTATTTGGCACTGAAAAATATTTTCAAGATTTACTTTTTTAGAAACTACAAAATTCTCCCAATAATTATTTTTCGATTTTATGCTGTTTCAATTCATCAACTTTTCGGCTTTTGGATTTTTGAATTTCTTCATTTTTCAGTTTTTCAATTCAATTTTTCGAATTTTTTAACTTCAGATTTTTAAATTTCCCGATTTCAAAGTTTTTTGAATTTTCAGTTTTCCAATTTTTAAAACTTTTCAATTCTTCAATTTTTCAGTTTTTAAATTTTTAGATTTTTCAATTTTTCGATTTCTCGATTTATTTTTGTTCAATATTCAGATTTATTGAATTTTGTAATTGTAAATCTTCCAATTTTTCAATTTTTAACTTTTCGATTTTTCGATTTTGGTCTATTTGGACTTTTCAATTTTTCAAGTGTGCAACTTTTTGATGTTTCGATGTCTAGATTTTTCAACTGTTCGACTTTTTCGGGTTTTCAGGTTTGGAATGTTCCAATTTTTCGATGTTTTTCGATTTCCCAATTTTACCTTATTTTATTTTTGGAATTTTTCAGTGTCTCTGTTTTTTAGTTTTCAGTTCTTCAATTTACTATATTTCCAAATTTACGATTTTTTAAATTTTGTAGTTTTCGATTTCTCAGGTATTCAATTTTTTAATTTCTGATTTTTAAATTCAAGTTTTTTCAATTTTCGTTTTACAATTTTCAGTTTTTTGATGTTTCGATTTCTCGACTTCTCGTTTTTTGATTTTTCCGTTTTCCAATTTTCAATTGTTCAGTTTTTAGATTTATTTTTTTTAATTTTAAATACTTTTGGATTCTTCGATTTTGGGCAGTTTCGAAGTCTCAATTTTTCGATTTTTGAACTTCTCGACTCTTCGATTTCTCGATTGTTCGACTTTTCGATGTTTCGATTTTCCATTTTTTCTATTTTTGGATATTTAATTTAAAATGTTTCAATTTTTAGATTTTTTGACGTTCCGATTTCCCAATTTTTCAATTTTTCGATTCTTCAATTTTTCGATATTTTAATTTTTCAATGTCCCAAATTTCAGATTTTTCGGTTCCTAGATTTCTCGTTTTTTCGATTTTTTAAATTCTTGGATATTTATATTTTTCAATTTTTCTAATTTTAATATTTTTGATTTTTCAGTTTATTATTACTTAAATTTTTCGATTTTTCAATTTTTCGATTTCTCGATTTATTTTTGTTCAATATTCAGATTTATCGATTTTTTTAATTGTAAATCTTTCAATTTTTCAATTTTTAACTTTTCGATTTTTCGATTTTGGTCTATTTCGATTTTTCAATTTTTCAAGTTTGCGCCTTTTTGATGTTTCGATGTCTAGATTTTTCGACTGTTCGACTTTTTCGGGTTTTCTGAATTTGGATGTTCCAATTTTTCGATGTTTTTCGATTTCCCAATTTTTCCTCATTTTATTTTTGGAATTTTTCAGTGTCTCTGTTTTTTAGTTTTCAGTTCTTCAATTTACTATATTTCCAAATTTCCAATTTTTTAAATTTTGTAGTTTTCGATTTCTCAGGTTTCCAATTTTTCAATTTCGGATTTTTAAATTCAAGTTTTTTCAATTTTCGTTTTACAATTTTCAGTTTTTTGATGTTTCGATTTCTCGACTTCTCGATTTTTGATTTTTCCGTTTTCCAATTTTCGATTGTTCAGTTTTTAGATTAATTTTTTTTTTAATTTTAAATAATTTTTGGATTCTTCGATTTTGGGCAGTTTCGAAGTCTCAATTTTTCGATTTTTGAACTTCTCGACTCTTCGATTTCTCGATTGTTCGACTTTTCGATGTTTCGATTTTCCATTTTTTCTATTTTTGGATATTTAATGTAAAATGTTTCAATTTTTAGATTTTTGATGTTCCCATTTCCCAATTTTTCAATTTTTCGATTCTTCAATTTTTCGATATTTTAATATTTTTGATTTTTCAGTTTATTGATTTTTAAATTTTTCGATTTTTCAATTTTTCGATTTCTGGATTTATTTTTGTTCAATATTCAGATTTATCGAATTTTGTAATTGTAAATCTTCCAATTTTTCAATTTTTAACTTTTCGATTTTTCGATTTTGGTCTATTTCGGTTTTTCAATTTTTCAAGCTTGCGACTTTTTGATGTTTCGATGTCTAGATTTTTCAACTGTTCGACTTTTTCGGGTTTTCAGATTTTGGATGTTCCAATTTTTCGATGTTTTTCGATTTCCCAATTTTTCCTCATTTTATTTTTGGAATTTTTCAGTGTCTCTGTTTTTTAGTTTTCAGTTCTTCAATTTACTATATTTCCAAATTTCCGATTTTTTAAATTTTGTAGTTTTCGATTTCTCAGGTATTCAATTTTTTTATTTCTGATTTTTAAATTCAAGTTTTTTCAATTTTCGTTTTACAATTTTCAGTTTTTTGATGTTTCGATTTCTCGACTTCTCGATTTTTGATTTTTCCGTTTTCCAATTTTCGATTGTTCAGTTTTTAGATTTATTTTTTTTTATTTTAAATAACTTTTGGATTCTTCGATTTTGGGCAGTTTGGAAGTCTCAATTTTTCGATTTTCGACTTTTAGATGTTTCGATTTTCCATTTTGTCTATTTTTGGATATTTAATGTTTCAGTTTTTAGATTTTTTGACGTTCCGATTTCCCAATTTTTCAATTTTTCCATATTTTAATTTTTCAATCTCCCAAATTTCAGATTTTTCGGTTTCTCGATTTTTCGTTTTTTCGATTTTTAAATTTTTGGATATTTGTATTTTTCAATTTTTCTAATTTTAATTTCTTTGATTTTTCAGTTTATTGATGCTTAAATTTTTGATTTCTCGATTTATTTATTTTTTTAATTTTCAGATTTATCGATTTTTTTGATTTTAAATCGAGTTTTCGATTTCTCGGGGTTTCAATTTTTCGATTCACTTTTATATATTTTACAATGATCAGTTTTTTGATGTTTCGATTTCTCGACTTGTCAGTTTTAGATTTTTCCGTTTTCCAATTTTCGATTGTGCAGTTTTTAGATTTATTTTTTTAAATTTTAAACAATTTTTGGATTTTTCGATTTTGGGCAATTTCGAAGTCTCAATTTTTCGATTTTTGAACTTCTCGACTTTTCGAAGTTTCGATTTTCCATTTTGTTCTATTTTTGGATATATAATTTAAAATTGTTCAATTTTTAGATTTTTTGACGCTCCGGTTCCCCAATTTTTCAGTTTTTCGATATTCTAATTTTTCAATGTCCTAAATTTCAGATTTTTCGGTTTCTCGATTTAGCTACTCAGGGACATCGACAGATAATTTTGAATAACATATAAAATTCTCTCTGAAGAACCCTTACAGAATTTCATAAAATCGTTCCAGACACACGGAAAGGGAGACCTACTTTTTCATATTGTAGGGTTTATGAAACGTCGAAAACAATCATCAGTTAGTGGGACCTCGGTATAAGTTGTTCCAAAAAGTTGTAAAATATGTTATTAAATGGCATGATTTAAAAATCAATTTTAAATTAAAAACGTCACACATTTTTTTGAAGACCACTTTTGGTTTGAATTCATGAAATTAATAACTTTAGTGTTAACCAAGATTGGAGGAAACAGAATAATTTTGATCTTTAACAAGACAGGAAAAAATATAAAAAAAGGTATGGAAGTTATGGGCATTCTTGAAGCCAATGGATCGACATTGGCGGCAATTTTTTCAGTGTTGCGGGTGTGTGCAACGTGTGCACTCTTAAAAAAGTTATACTAAGTAAATTTTGCTAAATATATCCGCACTGGTGGCTTCCCTTTCGAAATTTTCGTCAAATATTTGCGGATTCCACCAAGGCCGTCGTATTTTTTCCCGTCGGGAACCTTCACTTCCACGAAAATATGTTTATTTTTTTTTTTAATTCGTCGAAGACCGCGAAATTAAACCCAATTTAAAATAACACTCGGCGAGTTAGAGCCGTGTTTGCTCGAGGTTTAAGCGGAGGTCTCTCGAGCAGCCGTCGCAAAACAATAAACTCGTGTTTGGAGGAGTTAAATAAAAGACAATACCTGAACAAACTCCTATGTTATTGTTTTGGTCGGAGACACGAACATATCGCATCTAGTCAAATTTGATGGACCGCATGCGTCACGATTAATTACGCTAATTACGACCGGGATTAAATTGTTTCTTGAGTAGAAGAACTTTAAGTAGGCTGAAATTTGCTCAAATAAAAGAGCGGTTTCAAGCACTCCGCAACATTTGTATGTAATTCGGCAAGAAGCAACAGCATGAACGACAAACACTACACTTACGGTGACCAGTAGTTGACTTAAGCCGGTTCTGTTACTAAACCACTTGCTTGCAGATGAGTTCAAAATCTCGTCGGAGAAGTACAAGAACGTGGAGTTCGAGGCGGCGTTGGAGCACACCGGTAAGTGATGGATTGCTTTGTGGAGACGTCGCTAATTTTTGGTCCAGGCTTCGGGAAGTACAACCTGGCGCTGATCTTCGTCTGCGGGTTGACGCTCTTCGGGGTCAACAGCGAGGCCTACGCCGTGGGGTACGTGCTGCCGTCGGCGGAATGCGACCTGGAGCTGGACACCTACATGAAGGGGATCCTCACCTCGACGAACTTCATCGGGATCACCGGGACCTGCTGCATGTGGGGGTACCTCTCGGACACGAAAGGACGCAAGTCGGTCCTCACCATCAGCTTGATTCTGGCCTTCGTGAGCAGCGTGGCGGCGTCGTTCATACCCTCGTTCTGGGGGTTCGCCATCTTGAGATTCTGCAACGGAATTTTGTGAGTACCGATGTGAAAAAAGGGTTGAAAGTGTTGTGAATTTTTGGATTTGACATGAAGACAAAGTAAAACAGCCTGGAATTAGGGAACTGGAAGATTTTATGACAAGTGAGCGTTCATTTCACTTTGTTCTAGAACGTTCGTGTACTTGTGTTAATTTCCATGCACAATCACCGCCTGTCAAAAATTAGGCACAGTGGAAAAATGTTTTTAATTTCTAGTCGTTTTTTTTTTGTTTCGTTTAATATTCACGAGGTTAATGATAATTTATTCAGCGATTAAAAAAAAATTAGGATGCTTCAACATCGTGGAAAGTTTTTCGAAAAAAAAACTTGATTCGAGTCGGTTTTAATTTTTTCAATTTTATAGAATTTTCTTTCATTTTTAAGCCACTAAGCAACAATAACCTAAGTTAGAAATAAAAAAGTTCTAGAACAAAGAAGTTGTGAAAACCTTGAAAAAGACGAACTTTTTTGTGATGACTGATGAATTTTTAATTTATGAAAATTTTTGAAGCGATGTCATCAATTTCGTGGAATGGTTGAATAATTACATTATAGTCAAATTTCAAAGAACAGACGTCACATCACGAATTATATTTAAATTTTTTGAGTACAAAACGACAGTTAATGACTTTTTTTGAGTAAAAATGTTTAATAAAAATATCTTTTGTTTGGAAAATTTTCCCATGAAAAATGGTCTCTATTAAGAAAAATACGATTTTATTATTAATCAAAAAATTGGTCTAATTTTTTGAGTCACTCTGTATAAGTAATTATAAAAAATATGAATGCACTAAGAATTCTAAACCAGATGCAAGTACAAAATCTTTAATTTTTCTTTTAAATGCGAAATATCCCATTTGTGAATTAAAGCAATTAAATATGTATAAATATAGACATAATTCGAGCCTGGTGAGGATACGGGAGCGAGCGAAGCTCGCGACTTGTCAAAAATGTTATTATTGATGTTATTATAAGATCGCATTATTCTAAAAAAGAAGGCGAGCGCAGCGAGTGTACTTAATTAAAAATATATTTTTGATGTCCCTGGGAAGCTAGATTATTAAGAACAATTTTGTTGTTATCTAAAAATGTGAGTTTAAAGATAGTGAAATTTCCTAAACGTGAGAATTATTGTAATAAAAATTAAGTAGCATTCGTAAATTAAGTAAATTTTTAAAGCACATTCATAATTCGAGCGCAGCGAGTACAGTTAGGGGTGATTCAAAATTGTTCGTCGTGTCCCTGGGAAGCTTAATTATTATTATTGGAAATGTTTGTCGAATAAATGTTATTTAAATCTCAAAAAGTAACAGTTCTAAACTTATGGTTTATGAATCCGTGTTTAATTGTTACGCCAGACATCGGGATTTTCGGTAAAAAATAAAGTTTTAGATATCTCAATTTTTTTATTTTTATTGATTTTTGGTTTTGTCGATTTTTTGATTCTCTCTTTCAATTCTTCAATTTTCGATTTTTCAGGTTTTTGATTTTTCAATTTTTTGATTTTTAAAGTTTTCGATTTCTCGATTTACCAATTTTTCGATATTTTAATTTTAGGATTTCTCAATTTTTCGACTATTAAATTTTTCGAATTTTTGTTTCGATTTTTCGAATTCTCGATTTTTTCCTTTTTGATTCTTCGATTTTTTGATGTGTCGATTTCTCAATTTTTCAATTTCTCGATTCGATTTTTCTACATTTTAAATTACGATTTTTGGATCTCTCGAAATTTTAATTATTCGATTCTTCATTTTTTCTTCGATTTTTGCATTTTCAGTTTTTCGATTACTTCGTTTTTCGATACTTCGATTTTTTGTTTTCGATTTCTCGATTAATCCATTTTTCGACTTTGCGACTTCTCAATTTTTTGACTTTTCGAGTTTTGGATTTGTCGATTTTTTTATTTTCTCATTTCTCGATTTCTCTACTTTTCGATTTCTTAATTTTTCAATTTTTCGATTCAATTTTTCTACCTTTTATTTTTCGACTTTTAGATTTTTCGATCTTTCAATTCCTTGGTCTTTCATTTTTTCTTTGATTTTTCAAATTTTCGATTTATCGATTTATCTTGGGATTTTTCACCATTTCGATTCTTCAAGTTTTCGAATTTTTGTTTCAATATTTCGATTTCTCGATTATTTCCTTTTTGACTTTTCAATTTTTTGATATTTTAATTTCTCGATTTTTCAATTTTTTGATTCAATTTTTCTAAGTTTTATTTTTCGATTTTTCAGGTTTTTGATTTTTCAATTTTTAAAGTTTTCAATTTCTCGATTTATCGATTTATGAATTTTTCGATATTTCATTTTAGAATTTTTCAATTTTTTGAATTGTCATTTCGATGTTTGCAATTTTTCGATTCTTCATTTTTTCTTAAATTTTTCGATTTATTGATTTATCAATTTTTCGAATTTTTGTTTCAGTGTTTCGATTTCTAGTTTTTTTTCCTTTTCGATATTTCGATTTTTTCATGTTTCGATTTTTCGATTTATTAAATTTTAGATTTTTCGTTTTTTCAGCTTTTTGAATTTTCAATTTTTCAGTTTTTAAAATGTTCGATTTCTCGATTTATCGATTTATGAGTTTTTCGATATTTCACTTTGGGATTTTTCAAGTTTTTAATTTTCATTTCAATTTTTCGATTTCTTAATTTTACAATTTCTCAATTCAATTGTTATACATTTTAAATTTCGAATTTTTGAATTTTTGATTTTTCAATTTTTCGATTTCTTAATTTTACAATTTCTCGATTCAATTTTTCTACATTTTAAATTTCGAATTCTTGAATTTTCGATTTTTTTTATTCGATTTTTCAATTTTTCGATTTTTCGATTTATCGATTTTTTCCTTTTCAACTTTTCGATTTTTTTATGTTTCGATTTCTCGATTTTTCAATTTTTCGATTCAATTTTTCTACATCCTAATTTTCGATTTTTTAAATTTTAAATTTTTCGATTTTTCAGATTTTTGATTTTCCAATTTTTAAAGTTTTCGATTTCTCGATTTATCGATTTATGAATTTTTCGGTATTTTATTTTACGATTTTTCAATTTTTCGAATTTTCCGTCTTGGGATTGAAATGTTGAAATTTGGATTCTTCAATTTTTAAAATTTTTGTTTCGATATTTCGATTTCTCCCTTTTTCAGTTTTTTTATTTAATTTTTCTACATTTTATTTTTCGATTTTTCAGGTTTTTGATTTTTCAATTTTTAAAGTTTTCGATTTCTCGATTTATCGATTTATCGATTTATGAATTTTTCGATATTTCATTTTAGGTTTTTCCAATTTTTTGAATTGTCATTTCGATTTTTCGATTTTTCGATTTCTCGATTCAATTTTTATACATTTTCAAATTTCGATTTTTAGATTTTCCGATCTTTCAATTTTTCGATTCTTCATTTTTTCTACGATTTTTCAATTTTTCGATTTTTCAATTTATTGATTTATCAATTTTTCGAATTTTTGTTTCAATTTTTCGATTTCTTGTTTTTTTCCTTTTCGACTATTCGATTTTTTCATGTTTCGATTTTTCGATTCAATGTTTCTAGATTTTAATTATCGATTTATTTTTTTTTCAGGTTTTTGAGTTTTCAATTCTCAGTCTTGGGAATTTTCAACATTCGGATTCTTCAATTTTTCAAATTTTTGTTTCGATATTTCGATTTCTCGATTATTTTCTTTTAGACTTTTCAATTTTTTGATGTTTTGATTTCTCGATTTTTCCTTTTTTTTTGTTTAATTTTTCAATTTTTAAAGTTTTCGATTTCTCGATTTATCGATTTATGAATTTTTCGATATTTCATTGCAGGATTTTTCAAATTTTTGAATTGTCATTTCGATTTTTCGATTTCTCGATTCAATTTTTATACATTTTCAAATTTCGATTTTTAGATTTCTCGATATTTCAATTTTTCGATTCCTCATCTTTTCTTCGATTTTTCAATTTTTCGATTTTTCAATTTATTGATTTATCAATTTTTCGAATTTTTGTTTCAATTTTTCGATTTCTTGTTTTTTTCATTTTCGACTATTCGATTTTTTCATGTTTCGATTTTTCGATTCAATGTTTCTACATTTTAATTTTCGATTTATTAAATTTTAGATTTTTCGTTTTTTCGGGTGTTTGAATTTTCAATTTTTCAGTTTTTAAAATTTTAGATTTCTCGATTTATCGATTTATGAGTTTTTCCATATTTCAATTTTGGGATTTTTCAACATTTCGATTCTTAAATTTACCGAATTTTTGTTTCCATTTTTCGTTTCCTTTTCGATTTTTCGATTTTTTGATGTTTCGATTTCTCGATTTTTCAATTTTTCTTCAATTTTTCTACATCTTAATTTTCGATTTTTTAAATTTTAGATTTTTCGACTTTTCAGAATTTTGATTTTTCGATTTCTCGGTTTATCGATTTATGAATTTTTCGATATTTTCTTTTACGATTTTTCAATTTTTCGAATTTTTATTTCGATTTTTCGATTTCTCAATTTTTCATTTTCTCGATTCAATTTTTCTACATTTTAAATTTAGATTTTTAGATTTCTCGGTCTTTCAATTTTTCGATTCTTTATTTTTTCATCGTTTTTTAATTTTTCGATTCAATGTTTGTACATTTTAATTTTCGATTTATTAAATTTTAGATTTTTCGTTTTATCGGGTTTTTGAATTTTCAATTTTTCAGTTTTTAAAATTTTAGATTTCTCGATTTATCGATTTATGAGTTTTTCTGTATTTCATTTTAGGATCTTTCAATTTTTTTATTTTCATTTCGATTTTTCGATTTCTTAATTTTACAATTTCTCGTTTCAATTTTTCTACATTTTAAATTTCAATTTTTAGAATTTTAGATTTTTGGATTTATTAATTTTTCCGTATTTCAATTGGGATTTTTCAACATTTCGATTTTTAAATTTACCGAATTTTTGTGTTCCTTTTCGACTTTTCGATTTTTTGATGTTTCGATTTCTCGATTTTTCACTTTTTCGATTCAATTTTTCTACATTTTAATTTTCGATTTTTTAAATTTTCGATTTTTCGATTTTTCAGAATTTTGATTTTTCGATTTCTTGGTTTATCGATTTATGAATTTTTCGATATTTTCTTTTACGATTTTTCAATTTTTCGAATTTTCATTTCAATTTTTCGATTTCTCAGTTTTTCATTTTCTGGATTCAATTTTTCTACATTTTAAATTTCGATTTTAGATTTCTCGGTCATTCAATTTTTCGATTCTTTATTTTTTCTTCGATTTTTCAATTTTTCGATTTTCTAATTTATCATTTTTTCGATATATCAGTTTCGGGATTTTTCAACATTTGGTTTCTTAAATTTTTGGAATTTTTGTTTCGATTTCTTGATTTTTCAATTTTTCCATTCAATTTTGCTACATCTTAATTCTCGATTTTTTAAATTTTAGATTTTACGATTTTTCAGATTTTTGATTTTTCAATTTTTAAAGTTTTCGATTCCTCGGTTTATCGATTTATGAATTTTTCGATATTCTATTTTACGATTTTTCAATTTTTCGAATTTTCATTTCGATTTTCGATGTCTCAATTTTTCATTTTCTCGATTCAATTTTTCCACATCTTAAATTTCGATTTTTAGATTTCTCGATTTTTCAATTTTTCAATTTTTTAATTTATCATTTTTGGGATTTTTCAACATTTTCGAATTTTGGATTTTTTGATGTTTCAATTTTTTTAATTTTGTATTTTTTCGATTTTTCAGTTCCTCGATTTTTCAATTTTTCGATTTTTATATTTTAGATTTTTCAATTTTTTAATGTTTCGACTTCTCAGTTTTAGATTTTTCGGTTTTAAAATTGCTGCTGGAGTGTTATTTACTATATAGAGATTATCAGAAATCAAAAATCGCAAAAATTTCTGATTATTTTTCAAAGAAGCAGAATTTGTTCGGCTGCACTTCGGGGGCGAGGGAAGTTCTGCAGAAACAACTTTCGACCAATTTTGTAAAGTAATAAGTCTATTAAAATTTATTATTATAACAAAACCTACATAGCTTCTCTGAGATTTTTTTTTCATTACTTCTGTGAGTGTGTTTTTTAAAATCTAGAGTTTGTATTACAATTGAACCCAAAGTTGTTCTTTTTTTAAAACTCTTGAGAGAATGCGAGCGCAGCGAGCGTGTCCAAAAAAAAAAGTTACAAAATTTCCAGAAAAATAAGGTGAGCCGGTCAAATTCAACAATCGTAAAAATTTTTGAGCTTACATCAGATCGCCCAAACCCAACATTTTCTCTTTTTTCAGAAGTGATCAAACCCGAGGAACATTCAAAACATTTACGGCGCCTTTAGGCCAAACGAAATAAATTTGCTTAAATTACCGGTCAAACCCTCATCAGCAAAGCACATAATTCGCATGCTAATTTCAATTATGTCATTAATTAATCTCGCAACGAACCGAAAAAACCCAAGACATTTGACCGAATCACAAGATATTCAAATTCGCGCAAAAAATCAGTCGTTATTCCATTTTCCGGTCAAACAACAATTTAATTCAATCACGAGTCACGTTTTCTTAAGTGCCTGTTTACAACTACAATTAATCATTTAATCAGCATTTGTCGTCTAATTGTGCCCGCAGAACCCAAAATTAAAATACTAATGTGTAATTGACGCCAATTTAACTGTTTTAGGTCGCACGTCCATTCAAATTAAAAATAACTGTGTTTATTTAATCGTAAACATAATTCTTTGTTTTTTTCGCGTTACATCATATCGATCGCGTGAAAGTTAATTTCTATTTGTCACATTCCGAGAGAAAGGATCAGACCGTATCAAAAGGTTAGATTGGAGTCATGTGATGGAAAATGTGGTGATCATTTTCAGCCTTCCCTCAGGGAATGACCAAGTTTCTATAAATTATACTTTTGGGTTTATTATTTGTAAGTAGATGAAGGCGAACTTCTTGACACTTCTTTGTAAACAACATTTGAATTTGTGTTTTTGTTTTTCTAGCATCGCCGGCCCCTCCGCCATCGTCTATGCCTACTTCGGAGAATTCCAGAGCCGGATTTATCGCTCGACAGCCATGGCCTGGATGAGTCTTTTCATAGCACTGGCTTTAATCACCCTCCCGGGTCTCGGCTGGGCTCTCCTCCCCCAACACATCCACTTCCAACTATTCGGTCTCCCAGTCACCTCCTGGAGGATCTACATGTTCCTGATTAGTATCCCTAACTTGGTCGCAGCCATCGCCTTCCTCAAACTCCCCGAAAGCCCCAAGTTCCTCTACCACAGCGGCCAGATCGAGGAAGCCTTCGATGTCCTGAAGCGCATCTACACCATCAACACCGGCAAGCCCGAATCCACGTTCCCCATTGAAAGCCTCCAGGAAAAAGTGATCTACCAAGTTGACACCTCCAAGAAGAAGAACATCCTCAAGGATTTCTGGGGACAAATCGCCCCTCTGTTCGTACCACCACACCTGAAGTACTCTTTGGCAGCTGGGGTGATGCAAGGGGGTGTGTTTGCCGTCTCGAGTGGCTTGCTGTTGTGGTACCCCGATATAATCAACCAATTATCACACTCCGCGAGCGCCAACAGCAGCGCAACGGTCTGCCAAGCTCTCTCCAACGTCCACAGCGACAACGAAACTCTAGTGGCTTGCGTGGAAGACAACATCAACGATCAAGTCTTCATCCAGAACATCATCATCGGGGTGGCGTACTTAGTCAGCTACGTGGTCTGGGGATTCGTAGTCAACTTTCTAGGAAATCGCAACTTCTTCGGTAATTTTAGACACAATTTTTTGATTTCGTGACTCTAACTTTTTGGGTTCAGGTGTCTGCATGGTCGTGTCAGCCGTTTCTTTGGTCCTCCTCAACTTCCTGACCGAGAAGGTGGTCATTGACGTGTTGTTCGTGGTTTTGTTGACCCTACCAGGGATCTGTGTCGCCGTTATCAATCTGATAATGGTGGAAATCATTCCTACGTACCTTTGCGGGATGGCGGTTTGCGTTGTCATGACAGCCGGGAGAATCGGGAGCATTGTGTCCAGTTCGGTTGTCGGGATCATGCTCCTGTGGAACTGCGCGGTCACGTTTAACTTGTACGCAGTCAATCTCTTAGGTGAGATTTTTTTTTGTTTTTGTTTTGAAAATAATGCTTTGGTTTCAGTGTGTCTTCTTTTGGTGTTCATATTTCCGAGAAACTCAACGTAGCAACAAATGCCACACCCGACTTAATTTATTGTGATAACTTAATTGTACGCACTGTGCTAACGTAATTTTAGTTAGAAAAAATAAATATTTATACATTTTTTTTAATTCTGGTTAATTTAATGGCCTACTACAAGGGAAAATAATGAAATAACAAAAAATACGAACACATTACCAACGAATAAAAAAATAAACTATTGGAACATGGAACGATGAAAAATAAGTGTAATTTCAAAACCTTTCTACCAATGAGGCATAAATTATTGAAGAATGGTTATTTCAGTGTATTTTCGTTGCGATAGAAAGTCATCAAGAGGTGGAAGTGCTGTTATCGAATAATTCAAGGTTATTGGATCTGGTCCTACCAAGTTGACAATTTTATTGATGTATTCAAAGAAAAATTCCCTTTAGTAAAATAAATTAGTCCTTAGAATGTGAAGGGGAAGGGTGGGGGGCTATATTTGCTAAGATAAGACTGATTTTACCAAATGACATAGGCTCTAAGAAAATAGAGGGTGGGTGGGCGGGGCTAGTATTTGATAAGATAATTTTGATACTTTTGACATTTTGAAGAGAGAAATCGAGAAACTGAAAAATCCCCACACTGAATTCTCGAAAAAAGGGAAATCCAAAAATTAAAAATTCGAAACATCGAAAAATTGAAAAATCGAAAAACTGAGAAGTCGAAAAATCGAAAATTGAAAAATTGAGACATCAAGGGTTGAAAACTTGACAGAAAATTAAAATAAACGAAAAATTTCCGAATGTTGATAAACTGGGAAATCGAAAACTTGAAAAATCGAATAGTGGAAAAGTGTAAACATCGGAAAACCGAAACATCAAAAACTCATAAATCGAAAAATTGGACAATGGAAAAATGTAAAATTTAAGAAATCAAAAAATGGAAACATTGAAAATTCGAGACAAAAGATCGAGAAATTGAAAAATCAAGAATTCAAGATTTTTCAAAATTCTATTCAAAACGCCAGAGGTCCCCAAAATATTTGTACAATCTTTAAAAAATACTATGTAAGAGAGCGGCGTGGTTATTTCGTATCCTTAAAAAAACCCTAGTTCCTAAAATTCTTTCAAACTCTCAAAAACAGAACACAAGAAATATTTAAGGTTCTTTCACGAATTTAAAAAGACACAAAGAGTTCCCAAAATTCTTCCAGAAATAAAACACCAGGGATCCCCGACATTTTTTCAAATAATCTAACAAATAAAAGACAATTCTAAGGTTGTTTCACATATTAAAAAAAAATACACTCGAGGATGGCACTTTTGAATTTAATATGAGTCAGTCATATCTTGCCAAATACTAACCCCGCCCACCCGCCCTTTATTTTCTTAGAGGGTATGTCATTCGCCAAAATCATTCTTTCAAATTATTTCAAAAACACAAGGTAAGGACTCCGAAAGACCCTTTAAATTTTTTTCAAAAACAAAAAAGCTCTAAAAATGTCATGAGATTCCTTTCAAATTCTTTCAGACATAAAACGCCAGGGGTTCCCAAATTTTTTTCTAATTTTCTAACAAATGATAGTCAAAGACGCATTTAAGATTTTTTCATATAAAAAAAACATTCGAGGGACGGTGGGCGAGGCCACTTTTGAATTTAATATTATTCAGTCTTATCTTAGCAAATACTAACCCCGCCCACCCACCCTCTATTTCCTTAAAGGGTATGCCATTTGCCAAAGTCAGTCTTATCCAACGAAGTACTAGCCCCGCCCACCCACCCTCTATTTTCTTAAAAATATGTCATCTGCCAAAATCAGTCTTATCTTAGCAAATACTAACCCCGTCCACCCACCCTCTATTTCTTTAAAAGGTATGTCATTTGCCAAAATCAGTATTATCTTACCAAAACAGAAGAACATAATTAGCCCCGCCCACCCACCTTGCCTCCTTTTCAGTGATTGATTTTATCCGATCTGAATAAAATGAATGATCTTATACTGAACAGAAATAAAATTCGTTGTTAGAATGTGAAAGGGGCTAGTATTTAGTAAGATAAGACTGACTTTGGCAAATGACATACCTTCCAAGAAAATACAGGGTGGGTGGGCGGGGCTAGTATTTGCTAAGATAAGACTGACTTTGGCAAATCCCATTGCTTCTAAGAAAATAGAGGGTGGGTGGGCGGGGCTAGTATTTGATAAGATAATTTTGATACTTTTGATTTTTTTTTACTTTTTTCACATCCTAGATTCTATATAACGTCAGGGATCCCCACTTTTTTACATTCTTTAAACAATAATACGGAAGAGCCCGAAGAGAGAAATCGAGAAACTGAAAAATCCCGACACTGAATTCCCGAAAAAAAAAGGGAAATCCAAAAATTAAAATTACGAAACATCGAAAAATCGAAAATTGGAAAATTGAAACAACAAGAACTTGAAAACTTAACAGAAAATTAAAAAATCGAAAAATTTCCGAATGTTGATAAACTGGGAAATCGACAAATGGAAACATCGAGAATTCGACACATAAAAGATCGAGAAATTGAAAAATCGAGACTTCGGAAAATCGGGCAATTGAAAACGTCCAAAATCGAAAAATTATTAACTGAAAAACTGAGGCCCGGTTTGGGATTAAATTTTTAACACGGCATTAAAGTACCACGTGGCCAACTCTACGCCGATCAGACGTCGCTAAACTTCGTTAAATGCGTGTTTAACTTCCAATCAGTCTCAGTTAAAATATTCTATACACTGGCCCCAAAACAAAATAAAATTGAAGAAAAACCATAAATTGAAAAATCTTCACGAAGCGAAAAACTGAACATTCGAAAAATCGCGAAATTAAAAAATATATAACCGAGAAGTCAAAAAATCAAAATAAAAAAAGGCACAAAGTTTCTTTCAAATCTTAAAAGAAAGATAAAGAGCTCTCTAAAATTCTTTCACAAATTAAAAAAACACACACACACACACTTAGGGTGCTAAATATTCCTTCAAAGTTTTTCGAAAACAAAACACAAGGATTGCCAAAAAATTTTTCAAAATTTTTTCAAAAACATAAGAAGAAACTGGTAAGTTCTTTTGTTTTCTTTAAAAAAGACACTAGCAACCACCCTCGCAAGATTTTTCAAAATTCTATTAAAAACGCCAGAGGTCCCCAAAATATTTGTATAATCTTTAAGAAATAATGTGTAAGAGAACGGGATGGTTTTTTCATGTCCTTAAAAAAAATATAGTTGTTAAAATTCTTCCAAACTCTCAAAAACAGAAAATAGAGGGTGGGTGGGCGGGGCTAGAATTTGATAAAATAATTTTGATACTTTTGACGTTTTTTTTACTTTTTTCACATCCTAGATTCTATATAACGTCAGGGATCCCCACTTTTTTTACATTCTTTAAACAATAATACGGAAGAGCCCAAATCCCCACACTAAATTCTCGAAAAAACATCGAAAAATTTCCGAATGTTGACAAATTGGGAAATCGAAAACTTGAAAAATCGAATAGTGGAAAAGTGTAAACATCGGAAAACCGAAACATCAAAAACTTGAACATTCGAAAAATCACGAAATTAAAAAATATATATAACCGAGAAGTCAAAAAATTAAAAATTGAGAAATCGAAAAACTGAAAAATCCAAAAACGAAATGCCGAAACATCGAAAAATTGGAAAATTAGAAAGCCGAAAAATCAAAAAATTTAAACATCAAGGAATCGAAACATCAAAATATCGAGAAATCGAAATATCCCTATATCCAAAAATTGAAAAATTTAAACTAAAAATAAGGAGAAATCGAAAAATTGAAAAATCGGGAAATTGGACAATTGAAAACTCGAAACATCGAGAAATCGAAATATAAAAAAGTAAAAAACCCAAGTTTAAAAATCGACATATCTTAAATTAAAAAAATCGAAAAAGGAAGAAAATAGATTTAGAAAAAACGAAAATATGAACAATTGAAAATATAAACATAAAAAAAATCGAAAAATGGAAAGATAGTAAAACGAAAAAAAAAACAAATCAAAAATCCTAAAATTTAAAAAACCGAAATCGGAAAATCGAGGAATCAAAAATCCGAAAAATTGGAAAATTGAAAAACTGAATCACCTAGGAATCGAAACATCAAAAGATCCAGAAAACAAAGTAGCCAAATTCGAAACATTAAAAATTGAAAAACTTAAAATTAAAAATATCGATAATTCGAAAAATTAGAACCAATTCAACTGAACCAAAAAATTGAAAACCCGAAAGATCGACATATTTAAACACCAACAAAAGTGAAAAATCTAAAAATTGAAGAACAGAAGAATTAATTCGAAAAATCGAAAAGTAAAAATCGAGAAATGGAAAAATCGAAAAGCTGATTCATTATAAAAATCGAAAAACCGGGATATCAAGAAATCGAAAATACGAAAAACAGAAAAATGGAAAAATCGAAACATCTAAAATTTACAATCTCGAACCACAAAATTGTGAAATCGAAAATCGAAAAATTGAGAAATTGAAAAATCCCAAAACTAAAATGTTGAAAAACTGGAAATCGAAAAATTGAACAATAGAAAAATTGGAAAATTGAAAAGCCGAAAAATGGAAAAATTTAAACATCAAGGAATCGAAACATCAAATCTCCCAAAATCGAAAGATTAAAAATTGAACAATATAAACTTAAAAAAAAATGACAAATCGAAAAATCGAGAAATTGGACAATTGAAAACTCGAAACATCGAGAAATCGAAATATAAAAAAGTAAAAAGTAAAAATCGACAGACCTTAAAAAAATCGAAAAAGGAAAAAAATAAATTTAGAAAAAACGAAAATATGAACAATTGAAAATATAAAAATAAAAAAAAATCGAAAAATGGAAAGACGAAAAAAAAGACAAATCAAAAATCCTAAAATTTTAAAAATCGAAATATTGAAAAATTGGAAAATCGAGGAATCAAAAAACCCAAAAATTGGAAAATTGAAAACCTGAATCACCTAGGAATCGAAACATCAAAAGATGCAGAAAACAAAGTAGCCAAATTCGAAAAATAAAAATTGAAAAACTTAAACTTAAAAATATAGATAACTCGAAAAATTGGAACCAGTTCAACTGAACCATAAATTGTAAATTTTAAAAACCCAAAAAATCGAAAAAAATCTAAAAATTGAAGAACAGAAGAATTAATTTGAAAAATCGAAAAGTAAAAATCGAGAAATGGAAAAATGGAAAAGCTGATTCATTATAAAAATCAAAAAACCGGGATATCAAGAAATCGAAAATACGAAAAACGGAAAAATGAAAAATCGAAAAATCTAAAATTTAGAACCTCGAACCACAAAATTGAGAAATCGAAAAGCTGTAAAATTGAGAAATTGAAAAATCCCTAAACTAAAATGTTGAAAAATTGGAAATCGAAAACTTGAACAATCGAAAAATTGGAAAATTGAAAACCCGAAAAATGGAAAAATTTTAACATCAAGGAATCCAAACATCAAATCTCCCAAAATCGAAAGATTAAAAATTGTACAATATAAACTTAAAAAAAAAAGATAAATCGAAAAATCGAGAAATTGAAAAATCGGGAAATGGGACAATTGAAAACTCGAAACATAGAGAAATCCAAATATAAAAAGTAAAAAATTCAAGTTTAAAAATCGACAGATCTTAATTTAAAAAAATCGAAAAAGGAAAAAAATTGATTTCGAAAAAAGAAAATATGAACAATTATTGAAAATATAAAAATATAAAAATAAAAAAAATTGAAAAATGGAAACATCGTAAAACGAAAAAAAAAAAACAAATCAAAAACCCTAAAATTTAAAAAATCGAAATATTGAAAAATCGGAAAATTGAGGAATCAAAAAACCGAAAAATTGGGAAATTGAAAAATCGAAAACTCGAAACATGGAAATCTCGGTAAATCGATAAATTGAAACCATACCAACTGAACTAAAAAATTGAAAAAATAAAAAATCAAAAACTTTAAAAATCACATACATAGTAATAGAAAACCGAAAAATCTAAAACCGAGAAGTCGAAAAATCGAAACATCGAGAGATCGCAAAATTGAGAAATCGAAAAACTGAAAAATCCCAAAACGAAATGCTGACACATCGAAAAATTAGAAAATTGAAAAGCCGAAAAATCCAAAAATTTAAACATCACGGAATCGAAACATCAAAATAAAAATCAAAAAAATGATAAATTGAAAAATCGAGAAAGTGAAAAATCGGGAAATTGGACAATTGAAAACTTGAATCATCGAGAAATTGAAATATAGAAAAGAAAAAAATGAAGTTTAAAAATCGACAAATCTTAAATTAAAAAATCGAAAAAGGAAAAAATAGATTTCGAAAAAAGGAAAACATGAACTGTTGAAAATATAAAAATAAAAAAAAATCGAAAAATGGAAAAATCGGAAAATTGAGGAATCAAAAAACCGAAAAATTGGGAAATTGAAAAACTGAATCACCTAGGAATCGAAACATCAAAAGATCCAGAAAACAAAGTAGCCCAAATTCGAAACATTAAAAATTGAAAAACTTAAAATTAAAAATATCGATATCTCGAAAAATTGGAACCAATTCAACTGAACCAAAAAATTGAAAACCCGAAAAATCGAAAAAAAAAGTGAAAAATCTAAAAATTGAAGAACAAAAGAATTAATTTGAAAAATCGAAAAGTAAAAATCGAGAAATGGAAAAATCGAAAAGCTGATTCATTATAAAAATCAAAAAACCGGGATATCGAGAAATCGAAAATACGAAAAACAGAAAAATGAAAAATCGAAAAATCGAAAATTTAGAACCTCGAACCACAAAATTGAGGAACCGAAAAACTGAAAAATTGAGAAATTGAAAAATACTAAAACTAAAATGTTGAAAAATTGGAAATCGAAAACTTGAACAATCGAAAAATTGGAAAATTGAAAAGCCGAAAAATGGAAAAATTTTAAAATCAAATTTCCCAAAATCGAAAGATTTAAAATTGAACAAAATAAACTTAAAAAAATGATAAATCGAAAAAATTGAAAAAATAAAAACTCAAAAATCTTAAAAATCGTAAAATACATTTTATCGCAAATAGTGTAACAAAAAAATCTTGATCGTAGGTTATTTCGACAGAACTTCCCTCGCCCCAGAAATACAATAAAACAATCCAGTTTTTCCGAAAAATGATGAAATTTAACTATGCGAATTTAATTTTTTTTTATGAGAACCCTTGTAAGTTTTTTTTTTACTTTTCTCACATTCTAGATTCTATTATTAGTTAATTATGTTTTTCTCTCACTCGACAGAAAAACATAATTAACCCCGCCCACCCACCCTGTTCCTTTTCAATGATTGAAATGAATGATACTAAACAGAAATAAAATTAGTCCTTAGAAAGTGAAGAGGAAGTGGGGGTAGTATTTGCTAAGATAAGACTGATTTTGGCAAATGACATACATTCCAAGAAAATAGAGGGCGGGTGGGCGGGGCTAGTACTTGCTAAGATAAGACTGATTTTGGCAAATGACCTAGCCTGTAAGAAAATAGAGGGTGGGTGGGCGGGGATAGTATTTGATAAGATAAAACTGATTTTGGCACCTTCGTCATGTAAGAGGCAATTAAAGACGAGATTTAGCGGTCAGCACCATCTAGCGTTCTGGTTGGAACTGTATGTTTTTTTTTCGGTTAGATATCTTATCAGAAAAAAATAACTCTTCTTGACGCTCCTATGTGGCGCTGTGTGTCCAATTTTGTCACCAAAAATCGCTACCCTTGTTTTGACTTGACTCTCTTTACAAAAAATGCAATTCTTAACAACATACCAAAACACCAAAAACTAAAAAGTCAAAATCAATATGTTTTTCAAAACGTGACGCAAGCAGCTGGAATGCTGTCACCTTTAGGATTACACGTGTGGTAAGTAAATACAGTACGATAAAGAAGCAAATCACTTCAAACAACAAAAAAAAAAGTCAAGTCATTAAAATTCTGGGTGCAGAAGAACTGAAATCTTGAGCACACACAATCCTTTGTATTTTAATATAATTAAAATAAAATAAAAACTATTTTTTCACACTATTACTATTATCATTCTCGTTCTACTTCCACCAGGTAAACAGCAGCTCGAGATTTACAACCCAGAAAGCCTAAATCAACACAAACATGCGTTAATTTACTATAACTTTAATACGAACATTATTTAAACAAATAACTTAGACGGTCTTATGTTTTCTTTTATTATTTATGACGTTTCAAGATAAAAATTTGATGAATAGAATAACATGAAAAGAATTGCTTCAAAAGCGTCGAAATTGGTGAGTGGTGAAGATGGCAAAGCTGACGAAAGAGGGGGAGATTAAGAGTGTGCCGTTTGACAAAGCTATTTCTCTGACAGGTAAATAGTCAGTTTTTTTTAATTGGAAAGTCATTAGTGAAAACGGGGTAAATCGCCAATTTTTTTTTAATTGTTAAGTCATCATTGAGTGAAATCGGAGGCCAAGGTGACGTGAGCATCGAACCCTTGACCTGTTACGATATCTGGTCTTTTTTTTGTAAATGCATGATGTTATAGTGATATTTCTAATTACAATTATTAAATCTGAGGTTGTTCATTAAATGAACACGAAAAAAAAATTGTGGTGACGAAATAGCACGCATTAGATTGGACAATCACAGCTAGAAACAGTGATGACATTTAAAGTAATTTATTGGAGTATTTAATGCACGAGTTCTAAAATACTAGTGTTAGTTTTTCGTGTGAAATTTCCAAGGAAACCTTATTTAAATGGAAAGTTTATTTTTAATTTATGTGTACAATTAACGTTACGAGTTCTGCGTGATTCTTCACTTCATAAAGCTAATTTTCCGGTGCTCGGAAAAATACTTTTTTTTCTGGATTAAATTTATCAGCGATAAAAAAAATCTCATCGAATGCCATTAAATCTTGTACACACAACAAACAACAAAAGAATATGAAAAAAAGATAAAAATAAGTATGCACCAGGATTAAAAAAATATTTGTACATTTTAGATGTTTGGGAAAGCCAGGATATAATACTTAAATAAGTCTTTATAAACAAACGTCTTTGTCAAAAACGCAAGCTTGCAACAAAAACATAAACAACAATAATACAAACGAATATTTTCGCTTAACTGTTTTTATAAACAGACCTTCAAATATAATTCAATGTAATAGTATGGATACATTACCAAGGTGGCACATAGTTAAAAAATTGTTTAAAATAAAAAATAATTATTTAAAGAGTCTTAAGTATTACTTAATGTGGCTCTGTGGTGACGTCATCAACACTTTGGTGGGGATGAACAAACAAATTTTGGTTAGCTTTTGACCATCTACATTTCGAAAAACCGAAATGTGGAGAAATCAAACACTGAAAAGTTGAAACATCTGAGTGTCGATCAATTCGAGAAAATACAAAATTTTAAAAATCTAAAAATTAAAAAATGAAAATTTGAAAAATCGAGAAATTGTAAATCGAAAAGTCGAAAAATTGTTAAAATGGAAAAAACCGAGATGTGTAGAAATCTAAACTATGAAAAATCAGAATTCGAGAAATCTAAAATTTAAATAATCGAATTTGAAAAATTGAAAAATAGATGAATTGAAAAAGTCCCAAAACCGAAATGTTGAAAAATTGGAAAATCGAAATATCGAATAATTGAAAAATTGAAACATCGAGAATCGAAATATCCCAAAAAAAATTTTAAAAATTAAAAATTTCAAAATTTACAAAAATCGATAAATCGAAAAATTGAAAAACTGAAAACCCTAAAACGAGAAGTTGAAAAATCAAAAGATCTAGAAATTGAAAAATCATCTAAAATAAAAAAATCGATAAACTGAAAAATCGGTAAACCCATAAATCTAAAATTTTCGATATCGGAAAAGGTCGTAAAATTGTAAAATTTGAGAAAGCGAAAAACTGAAAAATCTAAAAATTGAAAAATTAGAAAAATGAGAAGATTAAAAATTCGAAAAATTGAAGAATCAAAAATTGAAAGATTGAAAATTTGAACAATCAAGAATTTGAAGAACTGAAAAATTCCAAATCTGAAATATAGAAAAATTGAGTAATTGAAAAAGTGAAAATTGAAGAAGCAAAAAAACTGACAAAATCCCAAAACTGAAATATCGAAACATTGAAAAATCGAATGTTGAAAAATCGAGAAATAGAAAAATCAAAAAGCCGAAAAAAAAATTCGAAAAATTGAGAAATTTAAAACCAAAAATCAAGAAATGGAAAAATCGAACGTCGGAAATTTAAAAATTCGAAAAATCGAAAAATTAAAGAATCAAAAATTTGAAATATGCAGAAATCGAAACATCAAAAATTTGATAAATCGAAAAAGTGCAAAATCAAGAAAACGGGAAATCGAGAAATCGAAAAATCTAAAATTTTACAAAAAATCTGAAAAATAGAAAAATTAAAAAATCGAAAAATTGAAGAATCAAAAAATTGCGACAACGAAAATTTGAACAATCGAGAAACTGAAGAATTGATCAATCGTAAAACTGAAATATAGAAAAATATATCGAAAAATTGAGAAATCGTAAGCTGAAAATCTGGAAATAGAAAAATCGAAAAGCCGAAAAATTAAAAATTCGCAAAATTGAAAAATTTAAAATTGAAAATCTAAATAAAAAATTGAAAAATCCAGTCGAAAATTTAAAAATTCGAAAAAACGAAAAAACTAAAATTTTAAAATCGAATAACCTAAAAGTTTAAAAATAGAAAAATCTAATATTTTTAAAATCGAAAAACAAATTGAAAATATCGAAAAATTGAAGAAACAAACAGTTGAAATATAGAGAAATCAAAAATGGAAAAATTGAAAAAACGGAAAACTAAAACATCCAAAAATTGACAAATCGTTCAACTGAAAATTTGAAAAATCGCAAAAAATTGGAAATCGCAAACTCTAAAAATCGAGAAATCTAGAATTAAAAAAATGGACAAATTGAAAACTTAGAAACGCCAAAAACAGGAAATTTTAAAATGTCAAAATTGAAAAATCGAAAAATTGAAAAACTGAAGAATCAAAACATTGAGAAATCAAAAATTCGAAAAACTGAAAAAATTTAGAACCAAAAATCCAAAACTTAAAAATTCGAAATATCAATAAATCCAACAACCGTAAATTGAAAATTTAAGAGTTCGAGAAAACGAAAAATCTTAAATTTAAAAAATCGAATAATCTGAAAACTTAAAAAGCAAAAAGTCCGATATCTTAAAAGTCGAATAATCTAAAAGTTTAAAAATCGAAAAATATGATATCTTAAAAACCGCAAAAAAACGAAAAATTGAAGAATAAAAAAAATTATAATATACAGAAATCGAAAAGTCTAAAATTTTAAGACTCGAACAATCCAAAAGTTTAAAAATCGAAAATCTCATTTTAAAAATCGGAAAAATTTGGAAATATTGAAAAATTGAGGAATCCAAAAGTTGAAATAGTGAGAAATCAAAATAAAAAAAAAATAAAACAAAGTAAAAATCGAAAAATTCAAAAAATGTAAAACTAAAATATCGAAAAACTGATAAATCGATAAATCGAAAAATTGAAAGATCCCAAAACTCAAACATCGTAAACTGGAAATTGAAAACTTAAAAATTCGAAAATTTAAAAACTCAAAAAACTGAAAAGTCAAAAACCTGAAAAAATATAGAATTGAAAAACTGAAAAACCGAGAAATCAACAATTCGAAAAATGGAGAAATCGAAAACTTGGAAAAGCCAAAAATAGAAAATTTGAAAATTGTCAAAATTAAAAAATCGAAAACTGAAGAATCAAAACATTGAGAAATCAAAAATTTGAGAAATTGAGAAATTTAGAACCAAAAATCTAAAATTTAAAAATTCGACAAATCGAAAAACCTGAAATTTTAAAAATCGGATAATCTAAAAGTTTAAAAATAGAAAAAAATTGAAAATATTGAAAAATTGAGGAATAAAAAGGTGAAATATTGAGAAATGAAATTATCAAAAAATTGAAAACAAAAACTCAAAAAACAAAACTAAAATTTTTCGAAAAATTGATAAATCGAAAAACTGGAAAATTGAAAAATTCCGAAAATGAAACATCAAAAAATTGGAAAAATTTAAAAACTCAAAAAACTGAAAAATCAAAAGCCTGAAGAATTGTGGAAATGAAAAACTGAAAAATCGAGAAATCGAAAAATGGACAAATCGAAAACTTGGAAATTAAAAAATAAAAGAATTAAAATATCGAGAAATCGGAAAATCAAAAAATCGGAAAATTGAAAAATCCCAAAACTGAAACATCGAAAAATCTAAAACTCGAAAAGTCGAAAATTTAAAAAATCAAAAACTGAAAAATCAGAAATCGAAAGGGGCAAATAGAAAACTTAGAAACGCCAAAAATAGAAAAATTGAAAAATGTCAAACTTAAAAATCAGAAAAACGAAAGTCGAAAATTTAAAGTTCAGGAAAATAAAAAATCTAGAATTTTAAAAATCGAAACAAATTGAAAATATCGAAAAACTGAAGAATCAAAAAGATGAAATATAGAGAAATCAAAATCAAAAAATAGAAAAATTGAAAAATCGAAAAATGGCAATAATTGAAAAATTTCAAAATTTAAAAACTCAAAAAACCGAAAAATCAAAAACCTGAAAAAGGTGGAATTGAAAAACTGAAAAATCGAGAAATCAAGAATTCAAAAAATCGCCAAATCTAAAACTTAGAAACACCAAAAATAGAAAAATCTAAAATTAAAAAATTATCAAGAAATCCAAAAATCGAAAGTCGAAGATTAAAAAATTCGAGAAAACGAAAAATCTAAAATTTTAAAAATCGAATAGCTTAAAAGTTTAAACATTGAAAAATCTAATACTTTAAAAATCGAGAAATATTGAAAATATCAAAAAATTGATGAATCAAAAAATTTAAGCCCAGTGAAAACGAAATATCATAAAATTGAAAATTTGAAAACTCGAGAAATCAAAAAATTGAAAAATGGAAAAAACGCAAAACAAAAATACCAAGGAACTGATAAATCGATAAATCAAAGAATCGAAAAATTGGAAAGCGAAAAATCGAATAGCCAAAAATTTGAAAACGCAAAAAACTGAAAAATTGTGGAATTCAAAAACTGAAAAACCGCGAAATCGAGAACTCGAAAAATGGATAAATCGAAAACGTAGAAACGCCAAAAATTGAAAATTTGAAAAATGTCAAAATTAAAAAATTGCAACATTGAAGAATAAAAAAATTGCGAGATCGAAAATTCGAGAAACCGAAGAATTGAAAAATCCCGAAATTGAAATATGTATAGAAAAATTGAATAGTCGAAAAATTGAAAATTGGAGACTCAAAAAACTGAAAAATACAAAAACTGAAACATCGGGAAATTGAGAAATCGAAAGCTGAAAAATCGAGAAGCTGAAAAATGAAAAATTCGAAAAATTTAAAATTAAAAACCTAAAATTTAAAAAATCGAAAAATCGAAAGTGGAAAATTTAAAAATTCGATAAAACGAAAAATCTAAAATTTTTAAAATCGAATAATCTAAAACTTCATAAATTGAAAAATCTGAAATTTTAAAAATTGAAAATATCAAAAAATTGAGGAATCAAAAAGTTGAAATATAGATAAACCGAAAAATGGAAAAATTGAAAAATCCCAAAACTGAAACAGAAAAATTGGAAATTGAAAACTCAAAAAATCGAAAATTCAAAAACTCAAAAAATCAAAAACCTGAAAAATTGTGGAATTGAAAATCTGCAATTAAACGGGAAATCGAGAATTCGAAAAATGGACAAATCGAAAACTTAGGTACGCCAAAAATAGAAAATTTGAAATATATCAAAATTAAAAAATCGAAAAGTTGAAGAATGGAAACATTGAGAAATTTAGAATCAAAAATTTCAAATTTAAAAATCGAAAAATCAAGAAAAAATCTAAAGCCAAAAATCTAAAAATCGAGAATTTGAATAATCTAAAAGTTTAAATCGAAAATCTAATATTTTAAAAAACGAAAATATGGAATAATTGAAAAATAAAACATTGAAAAATTGAGATGAATAAAAACATAAATTTGAAAACTGGAGAAATCGAAAAATTAAAAAATCCCAAAAGCAAAATATCGAAAACTGAGTAATCAGTAAACTGAAAATTGAGAAATTGAAAAAAAACTGAAAAATCGATCTTTTTTCCAAAAATCTCAAAATCTAGAATTCAAGACGGATTCATAAACCACGTACATACAAAATTCGAAAACAGACGGAATCTGCAGAGACCTATTTTTTAGCTTACATTTGGAAAGTAAAATCAAAAATGTAACCACACTCGTTTCAGGCTATGGATGTTTCAACATACTCATCCTCCTGGCAACGGGGGGCGGCCTCATGTGCGTCATCATCGAAACCATGTGCATGATGTTCATAACCCCAGCGGCCCAATGCGACCTCGACTTAACCCTCTCGGAAAAGGGCTTCCTCTCCTCCGTCAGTTTCATCGGCGTGGTTGCCAGCTCGTACATGTGGGGCTACTTGGCTGACACCAGAGGCCGAAAAAGAGTCCTCGTTGTGAGCCTGGCCATAAGCTCCATCACCACCATGATCTGCAGCATAATCCCGTGGGACTGGCTCTTCATAATACTGCGCTTCATTAACGGCTTCTTGTAAGTACTAAAAAACGAAAAATCGATAACTAACGACGTGTTTCAGCATCGGCGGCGCTTCCTCAGTAGTGTACGCCTACGCCGGCGAGTTCCACGACAACCACTACCGCCCAAAAGTTATTTCGTGGATGTCCACTTTTGTAGCTTTTGGTAATATGTATCTTCCAGGACTTGCATGGTTGGTTTTACCACAAGAGTGGCAGTTCCCGGTTAGCATCATTGATATAAATTTCCGCCCATGGAGGCTGCTACTAATCCTATACACTTTACCATGTCTCATGTGCGCTCTATTCATGTACTATCTGCCAGAAAGCCCGAAATATCTAATCTCGCAAGGACGCAAAAAGGAAGCTCTAGACGTTTTGAGGAAGATGTACGTCACCAATACCAAGAAACCTGAAGATACGTACGACGTTGACGAAATCATCTGGGAAGATTTGGGTGACAACGACGTCAAAAAGAACTACGGGATGTTCAAAACCATGTGGAAACAAACAGTACCGTTGTTCAAAGGGGCGCTTCTTTTGAAGACTATTTTTATGTGTTATATGCAGTTTGGTGTATTCGCATCGTAAGTCAAAATTTTCGTCAATTTTCTAATTTCTAGAAAATCGTTTCAGGAATGCCGGGATTTTCATGTGGTATCCAGAAATCTTGAACCGGATGTCCCACTACATCATTGAGAGACCAGGCAGCGAGGTTTCGCTCTGTACCGCGGTACTGTTCGAAGAAGACGACTTTAGCAACTTTACTCAGTTCGAAGTACTGACTTAGTTAAATATAAAGCATGAAAGTCAAAATTGACACTCTGTTTTTAGTATCCAATGAAGACGTGCAAAGACGAGGTGAAAACTCAAGTCTTCTTGGTGTCGCTAGTGATGGCGGTGGCCTATGCCATCATCTATCTAATCATAGGTTGCATTATCAACCTCGTGGGTAAAAAACAACTAATGATATCGTTCGTAACGGTCACAACCATAAGCGGATTGGCTTCTCACTTTGTCTACGGTTACGAACTTATCCAGATTCTTGTTGGGTTCTTCCTGATGGGGGGAGCAGCCATCGGTGTCACTAATGCCATAGCTGTGGACTTGTTCCCGACCCAAGTACGCGGGATGGCTTTAGCTTTTTCGATGATGTTTGGACGGATAGGGGCCATGACTGGGACTAATCTTGTAGGACCTATCATATACAACGCCTGTGATTATTTGTTCTATTTTGTTGCAGCTGAACATTTAGGTAAGCGTTACTAAATTTAAAAAACGATTACTATTTCTGGTATTTTCAGTTTTGATTATCGTGGTCTTTCTACTTCCGTCTTCGCCACGTCTACCGAAGTTGCTACCGTGATGTGATATTAAGTACAACTGAATGAAAAGACAACCGTCACTAATTCAATCTAACTTATCTTTTTTATAATTAATAAATTATTAAAAACTACGTAGTGCTTTTTTATTTTTATTCAGTTTTTACTATAGATACATGTCAAGTTTTAAACAGTCTCAGTTTTGGGATTCTTCAAAGTGTTTCCATTTTTCAAAATTTTGCCATCTTACATTATTCGATTTTTCAATTTTTTGACTTTTCGATTCGTTGATGAATTTCTCGATTTTGTAAATTTTCAATTTCCGAATTTTTAAATTTTAGATTTTTCACTTTTTTGTTGCTTCGATTTTTTGCCTTCTCATTTTTCGATTTTTCAATTTTTCGGAATTAATTTTTCAGTTTTCGATATTTCGATTTTCTTCGCCTTTTCGATTTTAGATTTTGCGGTTTTTCAATTTTCGGAATAAATTTTTCAGTTATTCGATGTTTCGATTTTTCACTTTTTGGTTTATGGTTTTTTTTTTGATTAAAATTTTTCAATTTTGAATTTTTCATTTTTCGATTTTTAGCCACTTCCATTTCTCAATTTTTCGATTTCTCGATCTTTTGATGTCTGGACTCTATGATTTTTCCTACGTATTTAAAATTTTCGATTTTTCAATTTTCGAGGTTTCTAAATTTTTGGATTTTTAGATTTCTCAATTTCTCGATTAATGGATTGCTTAATTTTTCAACTTTGCGATTTTTCGGTTTCCGGTTTCTCGATGTCTCGATTTTAAAAAAATTTTTGGAATTTTCGACTTCCTGTCTGTTTTGATTTTTTACTTATTCTATTTTTCAAAAGGTTACTTTAAATCTTACATTTTTCGATTTTTCAGTTTCATTATTTTTCGATTTGTTGATGTTTCAATTGCTCGATTTTTTAAATTTTCAATTTTTTGAATTTTTAAATTTTAGATTTTGCACTTTTTTGTCGTTTCGATCTCTCAATCTTCGGATTTTTTGCCTTCTCGTTTTTAGATTTTTTTATTTTTCAATTTTTCGGGATTAATTTTTCAGTTTTTCGATATTTCGATTTTTCAATTTCCGATTTGACGGTTTTCTTTCGATTTTTCGCATTCTCGTTTCTAGATTTTGCGGTTTTTCAATTTTTCGGAATTAATTTTTCAGTTTTTCGATGTTTCAATTTTTCACTTTTTGGTTTATGTTTTTTTTTAGTTAAAATTCTTCAATTTTGAATTTTATCACTTTTTGACTTTTAGCCACTTCCATTTCTCAATTTTTCGATTTTTCGACTTCTCGATCTTTTTATATTTGGATTCCGCGATTTTTCAATTTTTCGATTTCGATTTCTCGATTTCTGAGTTTATTTCTCAGAGTAATTCATCTTTTCCATATTTCGATTTTCCAATTTTTCCACGTTTCAGTTCCGAGATTTATCTATTTAAATTTTTTGATTTTTCAATTTTTGGCGTTTCTCAATTTTTGCTTTTTTCGATGTCTCAATTTCTCGATTTTTTAATTTTTCGAATTTTCCATTTTTCGACTTTCTGATTTCTCGATTTCTCAGTTTTGGGATTCTTCAATGTGTTTCGATTTTTCAAAATTTTGCCATTTTTTAAATCTTACATTATTCGATTTCTCAATTTTTTGATTTTTCGATTCGTTGATGAATTTCTCGATTTTGTAAATTTTCAATTTCCGAATTTTTAAATTTTAGATTTTTCACTTTTTTGTTGCTTCGATTTTTTGCCTTCTCATTTTTCGATTTTTCAATTTTTCGGAATTAATTTTTCAGTTTTCGATATTTCGATTTTTCAATTTCCGATTTGACGGTTTTTTTTTTCGGTTTTTCGCCTTCTCGTTTTTAGATTTTGCGGTTTTTCAATTTTCGGAATAAATTTTTCAGTTATTCGATGTTTCGATTTTTCACTTTTTGGTTTATGGTTTTTTTTTTTGATTAAAATTTTTCAATTTTGAATTTTTCGTTTTTCGATTTTTAGCCACTTCCATTTCTCAATTTTTCGATTTCTCGATCTTTTGATGTCTGGACTCCATGATTTTTCTTGCGTATTTAAAATTTTCGATTTTTCAATTTTCGAGGTTTCTAAATTTTTGGATTTTTAGATTTCTCAATTTCTCGATTAATGGATTGTTTAATTTTTCAACTTTGCGATTTTTCGGTTTCCGGTTTCTCGATGTCTCGATTTTAAAAAAATTTTTGGAATTTTCGACTTCCTGTTTGTTTTGATTTTTTACTTATTCCATTTTTCAAAAGGTTACTTTCAATCTTACATTTTTCGATTTTTCAGTTTCATTATTTTTCGATTTGTTGATGTTTCAATTGCTCGATTTTTAAAATTTTTAATTTTTTGAATTTTTAAATTTTAGATTTTGCACTTTTTTGTCGTTTCGATCTCTCAATCTTCGGATTTTTTGCCTTCTCGTTTTTAGATTTTTTGATTTTCCAATTTTTCCACGTTTCAGTTCCGAGATTTATCTATATAAATTTTTTGATTTTTCAATTTTTGGCGTTTCTCAATTTTTGCTTTTTTCGATGTCTCAATTTCTCGATTTTTTAATTTTTCGAATTTTCCATTTTTCGACTTTCTGATTTCTCGATTTCTCAGTTTTGGGATTCTTCAATGTGTTTCGATTTTTCAAAATTTTGCCATTTTTTAAATCTTACATTATTCGATTTTTCAATTTTTTGATTATTCGATTCGTTGATGAATTTCTCGATTTTGTAAATTTTCAATTTCCGAATTTTTAAATTTTAGATTTTTCACTTTTTTGTTGCTTCGATTTTTTGCCTTCTCATTTTTCGATTTTTCAATTTTTCGGAATTAATTTTTCAGTTTTCGATATTTCGATTTTTCAATTTCCGATTTGACGGTTTTTTTTTCGATTTTTCGCCTTCTCGTTTTTAGATTTTGCGGTTTTTCAATTTTCGGAATAAATTTTTCAGTTATTCGATGTTTCGATTTTTCACTTTTTGGTTTATGGTTTTTTTTTTGATTAAAATTTTTCAATTTTGAATTTTTCGTTTTTCGATTTTTAGCCACTTCCATTTCTCAATTTGTCGATTTCTCGATCTTTTGATGTCTGGACTCCATGATTTTTCTTACGTATTTAAAATTTTCGATTTTTCAATTTTCGAGGTTTCTAAATTTTTGGATTTTTAGATTTCTCAATTTCTCGATTAATGGATTGCTTAATTTTTCAACTTTGCGATTTTTCGGTTTCCGGTTTCTCGATGTCTCGATTTTAAAAAAATTTTTGGAATTTTCGACTTCCTGTTTGTTTTGATTTTTTACTTATTCTATTTTTCAAAAGGTTACTTTAAATCTTACATTTTTCGATTTTTCAGTTTCATTATTTTTCGATTTGTTGGTGTTTCAATTGCTCGATTTTTTAAATTTTCAATTTTTTGAATTTTTAAATTTTAGATTTTGCACTTTTTTGTCGTTTCGATCTCTCAATCTTCGGATTTTTTGCCTTCTCGTTTTTAGATTTTTTGATTTTTCAATTTTTCGGGATTAATTTTTCAGTTTTTCGATATTTCGATTTTTCAATTTCCGATTTGACGGTTTTCTTTCAATTTTTCGCCTTCTCGTTTCTAGATTTTCCGGTTTTTCAATTTTTCGGAATTAATTTTTCAGTTTTTCGATGTTTCAATTTTTCACTTTTTGGTTTGTTTTTTTTTTTTTAGTTAAAATTATTCAATTTTGAATTTTCCCATTTTTTGACTTATAGCCACTTCCATTTCTCAATTTTTCGATTTTTCGACTTCTCGATCTTTTTATATTTGGATTTCGCGATTTTTCAATTTTTCGATTTCGATTTCTCGATTTTTGAGTTTATTTCTCAGAGTAATTCATCTTTTCCATATTTCGATTTTCCAATTTTTCCACGTTTCAGTTCCGAGATTTATCTATTTAAATTTTTTGATTTTTCAATTTTTGGCGTTTCTCAATTTTTGCTTTTTTCGATGTCTCAATTTCTCGATTTTTTAATTTTTCGAATTTTCCATTTTTCGACTTTCTGATTTCTCGATTTCTCAGTTTTGGGATTCTTCAATGTGTTTCGATTTTTCAAAATTTTGCCATTTTTTAAATCTTACATTATTCGATTTTTCAATTTTTTGATTATTCGATTCGTTGATGAATTTCTCGATTTTGTAAATTTTCAATTTCCGAATTTTTAAATTTTAAATTTTTCACTTTTTTGTTGCTTCGATTTTTTGCCTTCTCATTTTTCGATTTTTCAATTTTTCGGAATTAATTTTTCAGTTTTCGATATTTCGATTTTTCAATTTCCGATTTGACGGTTTTTTTTTCGATTTTTCGCCTTCTCGTTTTTAAATTTTGCGGTTTTTCAATTTTCGGAATAAATTTTTCAGTTATTCGATGTTTCGATTTTTCACTTTTTGGTTTATGGTTCTTTTTTGGTTAAAATTTTTCAATTTTGAATTTTTCATTTTTCGATTTTTAGCCACTTCCATTTCTCAATTTTTCGATTTCTCGATCTTTTGATGTCTGGACTTCATGATTTTTCTTACGTATTTAAAATTTTCGATTTTTCAATTTTCGAGGTTTCTAAATTTTTGGATTTTTAGATTTCTCAATTTTTCGATTAATGGATTGTTTAATTTTTCAACTTTGCGATTTTTCGGTTTCCGGTTTCTCGATGTCTCGATTTTAAAAAATTTTTTGGAATTTTCGACTTCTTGTTTGTTTTGATTTTTTACTTATTCTATTTTTCAAAAGGTTACTTTAAATCTTACATTTTTCGATTTTTCAGTTTCATTATTTTTCGATTTGTTGATGTTTCAATTGGTCGATTTTTTAAATTTTCAATTTTTTGAATTTTTAAATTTTAGATTTTGCACTTTTTTGTCGTTTCGATCTCTCAATCTTCGGATTTTTTGCCTTCTCGTTTTTAGATTTTTTTATTTTTCAATTTTTCGGGATTAATTTTTCAGTTTTTCGATATTTCGATTTTTCAATTTCCGATTTGACGGTTTTCTTTCAATTTTTCGCCTTCTCGTTTCTAGATTTTCCGGTTTTTCAATTTTTCGGAATTAATTTTTCAGTTTTTCGATGTTTCAATTT